ATGTTCTGCCTATAATTCATACATTTATTTTTGTGTTAACAGGCCAAATAAGGCAATATTGTATTCATTAGTTTTTTTTTCATTTTAATATTAATTTAAAAAAAATTCTTCAGTATAGTTCATAATGCTACTGCTTTGCCAAGCCGGTGGCATACACAGCTCACTTTTGTGCTGTCTTCTGATTTCAACTGGTGTTTAGTCATCTTCTTCGGCTTCTCAGCACTTACTTTCTGTTCACCTTTTGGTTTGCTGCTGCCATCTAGTGGCGGAAGTTGAATCTCCCATTTTACTCACAACTCTCAAAGTAAATGATCTCCAAATCTATCCATCAGCCGGGGCATTCAAAAGTCAAGGTGGCGCTGTAGAAATACGCCCTAATACTTCTGCTGATGTAACCCCGAATGCCTTCTTCACGTAGGCAGCAGTACCGGTCGCCGCGCCGCCAACGCAGGCCCCCGCAGCCGCCGCCGCAGCAGCGCCCTCTTTGGCAGCCGCAGCCGCAGCGCCCAGGAAGGGGCGCGTGTTCGCCAGCCCGCTTGCAAAGAAACTCGCTGCAGAGAAAGGCTTTGACCTGGCGCAGATCACCGGTGAGTCAACAATCGGGATAAAAACAGGCCTTCGCAGAAATGTCACGGTAAAATATACGCTGTTTTCTCAGGTTCCGGTCCTGATGGACGCATTACCAGGAAAGACGTTGACGGTTTTGTTCCTGCAAAGGCACCAGTACGTTGCACTTCAGTCAGACTAGTTTTCGATTGATCGTCGTGCAGCAGAAAGTGCTTTATGATATCAATGGAAAGGTTCTGTAATCACGGAATAGTTTGACATCATTGTGTGTAGCTCATGAAAGTGATAACGTCAAACTATTATGCCGATTGAAGCAATAATATTGTCTCAGCAGGGTGGACATGATTGATGTATTTTTTTCAGAAGAATCTTTGCTGGAAATACAAAGAAGAGGAAGAGCGAAGGAATCGGCAAAGCATGCAATTGAATTTGGTCCGACTTTTTTCCAAAACAGGCTGCAGTAGAAATTTAATCAGGAAGCTTCTTTTTGTTTTTTGTTTTTTTTTTGTAACTAAAATAACATCATCTATGCCATTGCAACCGAACTGCCATAAATGTAGCCTGCATGATATCCGTCCCCACTTAAGCGAAACCAAAGACAAAACGGATTTTAGTTGGCAGAATGTTGAATGACACACATCAGTCTAATGGAGCCTCATGAATTTTGATCAAATTAAAAGTGTTTCCTTTTGGGTAGGCTGCTCCAGCTCCGACCGCGGCTGCAGCTGTTCCGGCGCCTGCTGCCGTTCCTGCCGCGCCAGCCGGGACTTTCACAGACATCCCTATCAGCAATATACGCAAGGTGAGAGCACACACGCCTAAACCTGCCGGGGCCACCACTGCACATTAGACTGGGCCAGGTTGTTTTCTTGTCAGCCATGTTTTTGCTTCTTTGTCTTCATGCTTTTTTTTTTTTTTTTCTCCTCTGCAGGTCATCGCTCAGAGGCTGATGCAGTCCAAGCAAACCATCCCTCACTATTACCTCTCTGTCGATGTCAACATGGACCAAGTGCTGGAGCTTAGGAAAGAACTCAATGAGGTATTTGGCGATTTGAGGATTGACAATTGAGAGAAGTAGAGAATGAGCGACAAGATCGCTTTCAAACAATGTGTTTGACCTGTGCTGTGAAGGAGGTGAAAGCCAGAAGTCTCAAGCTCAGCGTGAACGACTTTCTCATCAAAGCCAGTGCGCTGGCCTGCCTCAAGGTGCCCGAGTGCAACTCCTCCTGGATGGATACGGTCATCCGCCAGTGAGTCGCTTCAACACGGCTCACATGAAACATCATTTGTAACGGACCACTAGTAAATATATATTTTTTTCCAATCTTAGTATTTAGGTAAAGTTTCATTCGTAAACAAAATCTTCTCTGATGTGGCCATGTTAAAATTTTGGCAAACGCAATATGAATTAAACTTGGTTTACAGCTTCAATTTCTGCACACACACATAAAATGTGGGTCAAATTGGCCAACCACCCAAACTAATTATTTTTTTAATTTTTTTTCAGAAAACACAAAAAATGGAACCTAGTACTGATGTTTATTGTTAGTTTCATTCCAGGGTTAGAAATGATTGATCGGTTGAACTAAGAATGTAAGGTGGCCAGCTGAGGAGATATTCAAGGCAAAAAAAAAAAAAACGACTTTAAGAAGGGCGCATAACCAAACAAAAAAAAAAATACATTGTATGGACAAACCTTGAAAGAATCATGTTTATTCCACTATCCATTTGTATGTTCATTGTTGCTTTCTCTTAGGAACCACGTGGTGGACGTGAGCGTGGCAGTGAGCACGGCCAATGGTCTCATCACACCCATCGTGTTCAACGCGCACACCAAAGGACTCGCCGCCATCAGCACCGACGTGTCGGCCCTCGCCGCCAAAGCACGGGATGGCAAACTGCAGCCGCATGAGTTCCAGGTATGAGTCTAATGGTGGAAATTGTGGAAGAAGAATCTGGAATCTGAGTTCCTCTGTTTCTTCTCCCCCGCCACACACACCCACACCCACACAATCACCACCACCAGGGAGGCACGTTCACCATCTCCAATTTGGGAATGTTTGGCATCAAGAACTTCTCAGCCATCATCAACCCTCCGCAGTCTTGCATCCTCGCCGTGGGAGGCTCTGAAAAGCGACTCATGCCCGCCGACAACGAGAGAGGGTACGTGTCAAGTTTTTTTTTTTTCCAAGAGGAAACACTTAACCTTCACTGTGAAGGAAAAAAAAAAAACATATTTCTCGTATTTCTCTGAAAGTTGATGCACGTTTTAAGGCTTGTTTGGTATCAGGAGAATTGAAACATATCCCAGATGGGTGGATAAAATAGTAAAAATTTGAATTGGGATTTGAGTAGTAAAATGTGATATTCGTGAAGAAAAAAAACTGATTCGATTTGAAGGCCATATGGTGTCACGAAGGCGTCCGTTGTGTTTTTTCAGTTTCGACGTGGCCAGCGTGATGTCTGTGACGCTGAGCTGCGACCACCGGGTTGTGGACGGCGCGGTGGGTGCCCAGTGGCTGGCCGAGTTCCGCAAGTTCCTGGAGAAGCCCATCACCATGCTCTTGTGAGTGGACTGTGGCGAACCGCCGCCGATTACGCGCACGGCCCCCCTCGCCAATCACTCTGGATCCTCCTGCGATTGGCTGGCATGTCGGCAGGTCACTTCCTGTTACTCTGAAGAAGGGAGGGGCAGAATTCACTCCGCTTCCATCTCTAGTCGCTCTCTCTCGCTCTTTCTCTTTCTCTCTCTCTCTTGGTCTCTCTATTTATTAAATGCCCATGTCATAAGAGAAATGTACCGGTAGTTGTAATTCATCCTAGCGCACATGGAGTCTGCCCACGAAACACTTCCGGTATCATGTTGTGCAAAGGGACACGTTACACTATTATGTCCAATCAGAGATCATATTTAGTCCCAATGATTTGTGTGTGTGGTGTGAATGTGATAAAGGCAAACAGGACGTGTGTCTCCTCCATGTTTGCAGGCTAAAAGTTTGAGAGAAGTGTTAAGTGCTACAGTATGTACATTCTACGGTAATGTATATTAGACTCCTTTATCTGTACAGCCCCCCCGACTAATATATTTTTTTTTCCCCCTGAAGAAGTGCTAAACAGATCCTCTCCCTCTCGCTCACTCTCTTTCTGCTCCATCTTCATTTTCTAGCCTCACAGTCAAATCTTCTGTCCTTCACACAGCCGAAACGCACAAAGCTGCCGCCGGATGTTTGTTTGAAATAAACGGAGCGATATCAAATTTGTGTTCAGAATTTCATTTCACGAAGGCCTGACAGAAAACAGCAGCGGGTACAGCCAATGAGATCCACGTTATCTATCATAAATGAGCTTTTGGGTGTAATTTTAAAATCATTTCAGTATTTCTTTGCGTCCATATGGAAGACGAAGGTCAAACAGTCATTTCAGAATTGTAGTTTACTTCATCGCACATGACTTAGTGACCCCTTTTTTCTCTTGCGCTTGAAAAATACTGCATATATTAAAATAAACTAAAATCAAGCATTTAAAAATATAAACTAATCAAATCTAACAAAACGTCTTTACAAATGAAGAAAAACTTAATCGAAAAAAGTAAATGAAATACAAATTAGTTGTACTGAAAAATACAAAACTGATAGTCTTGCTCTGTAAATTCATATTTTAAAAACAGTTACATCTTTTTGATTCTTAATGAAAACCCCGGACATGCTTAAGTAACCATCACGGTTTGTGCTGCATGACTATAAAAATGTCAGGAGACGCCTACTCGAACAGCTGCACTTTATTCGTTGTGTAAGCATTTGTTAAATTGTTAATTATCATTTTATATTTAAGCATTATATTCTTTTATGTATTGTTAGTGACCTAAATTATATTCTGTTTAATACTTTCTGAAATATTCTTATGTTGCTTACATGTGATTGGCGAAGAAAAGCAGGAAGGTTGGTCGTTACCAGAAGAAGAGCTGTGTTCAAACGAAGTCCATCTCCCCTTTTTGCCCATTCCGATCGTAGAGCAATCCATCCAAAACCTACGAACCCCTCAACTTACAGTAGCAATTTAAACGGTTCAGGTGTGTGCTGACGTGGATTGAACAATAATTTGTCCTCCCAACTTCAAACACAAGATGTTCTGACTTGCTATCCATGTGCCGATTGTTGTGGCATTTCACACTGCTGTCACATAGTGACAACGCCTGACTCACAGGGAAGTAGAACCAACATCTGCACTTATTCGTGCGGCGATATCCTCATCGTGTTGCCTGATAATGGCCAGCGTTAATCATAACAATGCCGCTTTTGTTTTCCCCACCAAGCTGACAATGAGAGGTGAGGTGAGGCCGCGTTGCTCGATACATTAATCATGCATGCCTAGTTTTCTTTTTGGGCACATGAGGGGGGAAGTGGGGAGTGGTGGTGGGGGGGGGGGTTGGAGGAGAGAGGCCAGCTTGTTTTTCGCACTGCTTCCTGTCAGCCATGGATGCCCCTGGACGACGAGCGCTCTGGATCCTGTACGTGTGCTTCATGGCCCTGCGGACAAGTGAGTACTCTTCACTTGTCATAAAAAAAAAAAAAATACAAATACAACTTAGAAAGACAATACAGGCTCACTTTTGATTGACACAGGCAGCGACGTGTTGATTTCCGCGGCCACATTCACAAAGTCTGCTGCGAGTATTCGAAAATGTTCAAATTGCTTATTGTTGCAGTGATTTGATTTTTTTTTTAAGCCAGAACAGTGTGTTTATCAAGTCCGGAGCAGTTGTATTTAACTTTTATATTAAAACATATCTTACAATTAATATTTTAGAGCTGTTTGTTTGCTCCGATCAATTGGGTACAATTTGTATTGATTTATTCACTATCCCATTTTAGGTAATAATTTCACTGAGGTGCAAATAAACTTCAAGATTTTTTTTTTTGGTGCTAATTCCGAATTTACTCTTGTTTTTTTCTCGAGCGCATCAGGGTTTCATCGTAATAATATCACAACGAAATATGCAATACAGATTTATATTTAGAAATATTTATGAATTAAGGGTTAGGTTCAGCAGCAAGTAGAATTTATCTCAGAAATAACTACAAATTATAACGCGTGGTAAAATAAAATTTAAAAGACATCAGAAAACTGCTTGGAAAAAAATGACACTTTATCAAGCCATCTCTGATTAAAATTTTATGTTCACCAGGGTTAAGTACAAATTTTGTCTCCGAAATTTAAGACCACTGCTAATTTGTGTTTGCACTATCCTGTGTTAGCATTAGAATGGGACCTCATGTGATGGATGTACTGTACTTAATTTCAAACTTTGCATTAGCTTAGCACCACATACTATTGTATGCTGCTAGCTATACAGACAAATACTGAGAGGATGTTTGAGAGTGTGTAAGTGGGTTGTTTTTCGACTCTGCCTCAATTGGTTTTGGCTCCACGTCAGAGCTGTCAAATTCAATTAATTGCACAAGCACATACACAAAAATGTAGACGAGGGGAGGCAGGAGTGGGTTCATTATTTCTGGATCAGAAGGAAATGAGGGCATGAAAAAATGGATCAATGACAAGCATTTTTTGAATGCTCAGTTGACTGCATCAAGTTTTATTTAGCAAAAATGACATACTGTAAACAAATATTTTTAATGTAGTACACTTGATTACCTTTTTCTTTTTAGGAAGAATAACGTAAATTTACAGAAGTCAAGATATGACCTGAAAAACCAAATGAGAAGAAATTTTCATTCATGCTTATGTCAAAAAATGAGCCATGCTACCATCTGACTGAAAACATCAAATATGATCATTACATTATCGCCATCATTGTGATTGGCATGCGATGATTTAGAACGTGTGAATTTGAACTTTTGTTTTCATTCTTATGAGGTTGTATTCAGTCTTTTGCTGGGGTTCCACAAGGCTCTCTTGTGAGTCTTCTACACCTTGTTCCTGATCGCCAAAACAAGTGACCGTTGAGTGTCACATGCACTGCATTCTGTTCTTCAATACTCGACTGCCACACACACTACATTCCAACCCAATTTTTTTGGTCTTCATTTCTTTCTTCAGATGCTCTGAGGGTGTCCATGAGGGAGTCCACAGTGGAAGTGGTCCGAGGAGATTCCGTCATCCTGCCCTGCTCCTTCTTCACATCCAGTCCTCTCTCCCGTCTCAACATAATCTGGACCCTGGCTCCCTTCTCCAGTCCAGAATCCCCCATTCAGGTCAACTCACACCTTTTATTCTTAGTTTTCTTGGAAGAAATGTCTGGACATCATCGTTCAGAGAGCAAGAATTCCTTCGTTGACATTGCAGGTGATCGTGTATGATCATGGCCAGATTATAGAAGACCCCTCTCTCATTGGAAGGGTGGGCTTTACAGGTATAGCCATGATTTTATTTACTTTTTTCCAATCTTAGACAAATAAATGGAGAAAAAGTGACCCATTTGCTTGGCAGGCATCCCATGGAGTGCAGACATCATGATGAACGACACTCACATCTCTGACGCTGGCATTTATCGCTGCATGGTCAACAACCCTCCAGAGACAGCAGATGCCAGCATCGGAGAACTGCTGCTCAGTGTTTTGGGTAAGTGTAGTCTTACGCAGTGTATTTAAAAAGTCGAGACCATTTTTTTTTTTGTGATGTAAAAAAAACCCCTCTAAGATGAAACGTAATGTTTTTCCCACTATTATTGTAATCTACAATGTGTACAACTAAAAAAAAAAAAAACTTTCGAAAGGGGATGTAAAAAAAAACAAAAAAAAAACTGAGCGAGTGTAGTTGCACAAGTATTCACACCCTCTTATATTTGGGGATGTGGCTGTGTTCAGAATTCACCATTTACATTCAAACTCATGTGAAATGGGAGGTGGCACACATCTTCCACTCAAAAAGTAGCTCTGCATAACCCGAAATAAAGTTAAGCTGTTCTGTAGAAATTTTAAGGACTTAAAAACCTCTGTCTCTTTTTTGATGAGCCATTAGAGCAGTGGTTTTTAACCTAGGTTCTATTGAACCAAAGGGGTTTGGTGAATCGGTCTCAGGGGCTCGCCAGAGCCTCTGCGATGGAGGGAAAGGCATACCCGACTCAACATGTCAATTAATTATGACACGCCCACTTGGCCATGACTGGCTTGTTCATTTTGTGCACAATTAAAAAAAACGAGCCAATACCAAAAAACGACCATGTACTATAGTAAGGCATTTTTAGCGAAAAAAAACGACCATGGAGAGAGGCATTTTAGCCGAAAAAAACGACCATGTATAGTAAGGCATTTTTGGCCAAAAAAAAGACCATGTATAGTAAGGCGTTTTTTGCCGAAAAAAACGACCATGTATAGAAAGGCATTTTTTGCTGACAAAAAGACCATGTATAGTAAGGCATTTTTAGCCGAAAAAAAAAACGACCATGTATAGTAAGGCGTTTTTAGCAGAAATTTTTAGCCGAAAAAAACGACTATGTGTATATAGTAAGGCATTTATAGCCGAAAAAAACGACCATGTATAGTAAGGCGGTTTTAGCCGAGAAAAACGACCATGTATAGTAAGGTGTTTTTAGCCGAAAAAAACAACCATGTTATAGTAAGGTGTTTTTAGCTGAAAAAAACGACCATGTATAGTAAGGCGTTTTTACCGAAAAAAACCGACCATGTATATATAGTAAGGTATTTTGGCCGAAATTTTTAGCCCCAAAAACGACCATGTATAGTAAGGAATTTTTAGCCGAAAAAAACGACCATGTATAATAAGCCGTTTTTAGCCAATAAAAATGACCATGTATAGTAAGCCTTTTTTAGGCGAAAAAAAACGACCATGTATAGTAAGGCATTTTTAGCCGGAAAAAAAACGAAAAAAAACTTTTTTTTCGGCAAAAAACGCCTTACTATACATGGTCGTTTTTTTCATCAAAAAACGCCTTACTATACATGG